AACGTGATCGTAGCTCTCTTTCATCCTGTAATAATTTTCGATAGTGTTTTTTAAAACGGCGGCCTCTTCCAGGCGTTTCTTATTCACCGTTTCCAGAATTTCGGCGGATCTCTCTTCCGTCTCGGTGATCTCACTTCGCAAATTACTTTCTACTTGAATTTGAATCGCCCTGTACTCGGCAGCAGTGACGTGTTCCAACCTGGGTTCAGCCCCTTCCCCGTCATTCGTCTCTCCTTCCGGCCTCTGCTGGTCTTGAAATCCCAGAGTTCCATAGCGGCTCTTCAGTTGCTCAACATAGTCACGTGTTTCCTTTTCGTATCTTTCTTTTAATTCCGCTTCCCGTCGCGCCATCTCTGAATGGATCTCGTTCATTTGTATTTCGAACATAACTTTATTCTCCAAAGCTTTCGCCAGCTGATTCACGGAGGAGAGGGATTCTTCCAAAATTCCCGTCCCATGATCCTCTTCACTAATCTCTTTTTGCAGCCCTTCGGTTTTCGCAATTAAGCCGTCTAACCTTTCGAGTTTGTCCTCAACATCCCCGCTTGACAACCTTTCAAATTCATGAATGATGAGGCTGATTTGTCTAAAAGTGTCTTGTCGGATGACGGGTTCTCTCAATGTGAGTAACAGATCATCGCGTGATTTCTGTACACTTTGGAAGTTGGCGTCCGTGTACCTTTCCCCGCCAGATTTAAGCTCATCGACTGTGTCCATTAGCGTTTTAATCTGGTCATTTACGACCTTTTCATCTTTAGTCCTGTTATCAAAAAGAATGGCCCTGTACTTGCACTCGCGGAGCAACTGTTGAAATATGCCTGTTTGTTCTCTGCACCAACTTACAAAAGTTTTCCCATTTTTTTCGATTTCCTCTTTCGCGAAGTTATCTCCACACGTCATAATCACTATAAAAAAGTTTTTGACAAAATCCTGACCAAAGATCGCCTTTAACATTTTAATCACGTGACTATCTTCCTCAGTGAATCTGCCACCATAGCGGACCACCAAGAGAAACGCGTGGTAGCCTTTTGGATTTAGAAGCACGGCATCCTGCATGGCAGCTATGACAAATTTCGTGGCCTTCACTATATCCTTGTAGCTAGTATCCCCAACACCTGGTCCATCTACAACTGTAATGCTGCGGCCTTTGTACTCTGCAAACTCATATTGGACTTCCTGTGTGACAGATGACATGGATCCTCTGCTGTCAAAATAGTCCCTGCCTAAAATTGTGTTTCCGGTGGCACTTTTGCCATTGCCTGTTTTACCAATGAGCAGCAGGTCGATTTCATTGTGTTCATTGGATATCACTGGGTTGTCCTGGGTAAAAGGAGTGCAGCATAAAAACACAACGTGAAGTTAATTAAAATAGCATTCAGCTTATTTAACTATTGTTTATTTAATGTAAAGTCTTTGATATTCCCGAATAAGATCTATGATGATGAACATAGAGGATATAGTAATTTCAGTAAAAAAAAAAAGCATGAGAAAATGCAGACTTTCCCCATAGAGTTGGCGTATATCGGTTAAAAGTCAATCATTATGTCCCAATAAGAAAACAATGCTAAGTTGTTTTTTTTAAATATACGATTATTTAGTGCAGTGTCCAATGTGTCTAATCTATTCCAAATATAAACTTATTCTCCAACAAATATTTCTCCTAATTAATGTTCAGAAGAAAATCGATGTAGTTAATTTTCATCACCTTTTCAGATTGAGTAGTTTCGCTGCCTCCTTGTACTAATGTAGAGTGCTGGGAGCGATCTCTTGCCTAAAGAAAAAAAAAAACCAAGCATTTTTCTCTAAAGTTATCCTCTTCTAATTCCAGGTTTACATAACGTGTATTCAGCCAGGACCAGCCAGTTGACATCTCTGAACGCCACTAAACGTTGTGCCAGCCAGTTGACATCTCTGAACGCCACTAAACGTTGTGTCAGCCAGTTGACATCTCTGAACGCCACTAAACGTTGTGTCAGCCAGTTGACATCTCTGAACGCCACTAAACGTTGTGTCAGCCAGTTGACATCTCTGAACGCCACTAAACGTTGTGTCAGCCAGTTGACATCTCTGAACGC